TAGCATAAATCGTTGATTTCAAGCGGGGAGGGGGCAAGAGGGAAAGGGAGGAGTGAAGAATTAAAGAAAGCTAAGGAGAGTAGTAAGGATCGAGAAGGTTGTTGTAACAAAGAGAAAGAATACCACTGAAAAGGTAGAACTTCAGTCGCATCAGCTATTAAGTAGTACAAGAAGGAAGCGGTTGCCTTTAAGCCTTTGTGTGATGAAAGATGTTCACGCTTTCTTCCCAGTGGTCCAAGAATCTTTTCCGTGAAAAATCATCAAGTGATGTTTGCATAGGATAGGTCGGCACGTATATCAGCGCTTGTCCATGGCTAGATTCTCTTGAAGTGACATTTTCTTGAACAAGTTTTTTTTCTTGTGCGTCATCTTGACTTCAGTAACAGTCTAATAACAAATGGCAGCAAGTCAGTTTGGGGGAAACTCAGGTACTGTTAAGCAGGGAAAGTCGAGGGCGAAAACATAGACTACCGGATTATTTACAGAAAGTGTGGAGGAAGCAGTATCTGTGCAATGTGGGCTTTAATCAGCTGAGTTACATAAATTGAAAACTCCGCATCAAGCGTGAACGGAAATTTATTTAATCAACGGAATAAGTGGGGAATTTATGACCAGGAAGATAAACAGATGATTATGAGTTTGGGACGGATTTTTTGTTAAGTTTACAGCGTATTCTACATATGGTGCTTGGTTCCTCTGTTATTATGGAAGCTACAGGGAGATTAGTTGCGGGCGTACATTTACAGCAATGGATCCTGTGACGGGTGTTTTGTAGTCTTACAGAAACTGTATACTTTTTATATGGCCTATTGTTTGGACTCAATCGAGTGAGGTTCAAGCTATTCCTCACGCATAATACAGTTATTGTGCTTGCAACCATTGGCCTGATGTGATTGTTAATCAAAATATTGGTTTCCGTTACTGCTACGCTCTCGTAAGATATCGCAAACTAAGAAGACTAAGATGGAAGTGGAAATAACACCAAGTCAAGTGGACTTATTAATCAAAGAATAATCATTTTTCAACCTTAGTAGTACCCCTTAGCTCCCTAATTTTTGCTGTCAATGAAGGAATTTTTTAGGATTTTGGGGAAATTCAGCAAGTGCAGTATCACTTTCTTCAGAAGGAAGCTATTTTGATGCTATGGATGAGTGGTATTCTTGGAATTTTATTTGTCTGTAACTCTTCTGAAATTTTCTCTGCCATTATTGTCGGTAATTATTTTTTCATTTTTTAATTAAGGTCTGACAAAAGGGCTGCTACTGATTTTGGACTATATGATGTCGAAAAATTTTCTAAGGTGGTTTTATTTTCTAGTATTTCAAATCAGTTTACTGTTTGTTGCATTATATGTTCAGATTATTTAGAGGAGCGTTTGATACGATCTGCTTATATAGCTAGTT